GAGGGGAACCAAGGCGCACCCCGGATCAGCCCAAGCCGCGCCAATTTTCCTCGCCTGGTGCAAGTCTGGGCCTGCGCTGTTCCCTGGGGGGGGATATCAGCGCCTTCGGCAGCTGTCCCCCCCCCGGGGTGCGCTGCGCATCCGTTCCGGATGGCCGCGGTCCTGGATGGTGTGCCGGAAGATGGCGTTGTCCCGCATCATCACGCGGCCCCCTTCGCGATGTCATCGATGCGCTTGAGCGCAGCAGCCTCCGGATTCCGCAGAATCAGCTCCCAGATGGCATTGGAGACGTGGCCTGTCTGGGTGGTCTGGCTGAATCTGAACCTGGGCACCTTCTGGTCCACGATGGAGACGTCCCGCAACGGGGCCGAGGGCTCCACCCGGCGGTAGTACTCCAGCCGCTCCTTCACCCAGCGGTTGTAGAGGCCCTCCGGCGGCTCGTCCAACACCAGCTGCAAGATGGCCTTGCCGGCCCGGATCTGGAGGAGGCGGGTGCCCCCTCCCCCGGCACGCCAGTACCCCTTACAATACTTGCACATGTAGCCCCCCCGGGTCTCCCCTTTTGTCTTCGGGATGAGTTCCCACGGGGTGACGGAGCTCAGGACCAGGCCACACTCCATGTGCGCCCAGAAGACATGCTTCATCTCCACCGGATAGTTCTTCTTCCGGTAGTCCTTACCCACCACGCCGTGGACGTTGTCCGCCGTGATGGGGGGGTAAACGATCCCCTCATCGCCCTCGCCTCCCCTGGGGCGGATGTCAGGGCCATCGGCACCTGTCCGGCACCCAGGGGCGGAGGGGTCCAGGCCCATCAGCTTGATCATGTCGTTGGTGTAGCCGAGCTTGCGGTAGATGGAGGGGGCCACTGAGTCGGGGACTGCGCCGACCCACCACTGCTTCGTGTTGCAGCGCCAGTTGACCTTCACCTCCGCCAGGGCCCCCGGGCCTCCAATGCGGTCCATGAGGGCCTTGTACACCTCTGGGAACTGCTGGAGGCTCTCCACCGGGACCGAGATGCGCTCGTCGCATACCGCCCGCAGGATCATCTGCTCCTTGGAGTCCGCCACGTCCTGGACCGGGAGCTGCATCACCTCCGCCGGGGTGTCCGTGAGGAAGGCCCGGGCCGCGAGGACCTTGCCCATGGCCCGGTAGACCAATCGCCACTCCGGTCCTGTCTGCGGAAACGGAAGGCCCTCCTCCTTCAGGAAGCACCGCGCGTCCTCCTTCAGGGTCTCCCAGCCCTCCAGGCGGGTCTGATTCTGGGCCTTGTTTTTCGGGCCCCGCTGCCTAGGGCCCTGCAGCAGTGGCAGAGACTCCCAGACTCCCCAGAGCTGGCGCAGGGTGTAGCTGTGCCCGAACATCCCCAGTAGGCCTGGGAGTGTCCAGGACGAGATCTGGCGCGTCCAGTGGAAGTCCTCATCCGGATCGTGGGGGGCAGCCCAAAAGATGGATCGCAGGTCCCCAGGGTAGGGTCGGTCCCCCGCCTTCGCCTGCTGGTTCAACTCATCAACGGAGTACCTGGCCCAGGGGAGTCCACCCACCTGGTGGTTCCTGGGATGCGTACCCTTCTCCAACGCCTCCGGATTCACCTTGGTGAGGTTTTTCGCCCAATCCGGGACGTGTACCGGGCCCGGTCGTCGGACCCAGCGGCCCGCAAAGATACGGACCTCTCCGACCCGTTTGCTCATCATCCAGCGCAGGACCGAGAGCTGCACCTCCGGGTCCTTGGTGTCCAGGCCCACCGGGGTGGCGGACGGCTTGTCAGGGCCCTCGGCACCTGAGCTCGTCACGCCAGAGCCCGAGGCTGGGGGGATGGTGGGCGGCCTGTCAGGGCCCTCGGCACCTGGGCGCGCCGCACCAGAGCCCCCCGCCTTTGGCATGGGGATCCCTGTCAGGTCCGGCAGATCTGACAGGAGGGCCGCCGGGAAGGGATTCCTACCCAGCGAGATGACCGCCTTGGCCTCAAGATAGGAGTCCGTGAGGGATGTGAGGTCGTCCATACTGAAGTCCCTCCATGCCGTTGTCGGCTCGAAGACCCCAGTCTCAATGGCGACCCGGACCTCACTAGGCCACGCACTGAAGGGAGGCGCGATGGGCTCGAGCAGCCCTTCGCCTGTCTGGCTTGGTGTTTCGCTTTCGCTTCCTCCGCAGTGGTCTGGGCCTGGAGGAGCTCCGGTGTGGGTCTCCCCCAGTCCGCACCCAGCTTGTCCAGCAGCTTCTCACGGAAGAGGTCCAAGTCCAGGTTCTTCAGGAGCAGGCCTCCATCACCTCCTCCGTCAATGGCCCCCCCTTGAAGTTCGTGGAGGACCGCCGCGGAGCGCTCCACCGCTTCCACCTGGTCCGCCTTCTTGGCCTCCTCCTGGGCGATGGTGGTGGCGTTGAGCCGGGTCTGAATCTTGAAGGCCTTCACCGCAGACGGGTGGAAGGCTCTGCATTCCTGGCCCTCTTCCTTGTCGCCTGGCAATGGGGGCCTCTCCCCCGGTGGGGCCGTCAGAAACTCCTCGTCCAGCTCCATGGGGCAGTTCCTGATCACCGCCCGGACCGAGGAGGGGACGAAGTCCGAGAAGCTGGCCTGGTCCGGGTTCTCGCAGGCCATCGGGTCGGTGGCCAGCTCGCTGACGTCCACCGAGGCACTGAGCTTGAGGTCGCGGGCCCGGTCCGTGTCAGGGCCTTCGGCACCCGCGGACCGGGCCGCCGTCCAGACCGCATTGCCCTGGTCATCCACCGTCAACTGCCAATGCGTGCCCGCCATCTCCAGGGTGGCCGAGTTGGTCGCCGTGTCAATGGGCTCCGTCTTCTTGCCGCACCCCATGCACTTCGTGGCGCCCTTCTTCACCCAGGGCATGGTGCAGCAGGGGCAGATCCAGGATGTGGGCACCTTGGCGGTTCTCCAGGCCCCCGTACCCCAAGCCAGCGCGCTTGCCAACCTGCTGTCCCGGGGTGCTGAGCCGGGCCTCATGCTCGTACTTCATCTTGGCGATGTAGAAGGCCTCCACAACGCGCTCCAGGCCCCCCTGCTTGAGTTGGGGGCCCTCAAAGCCTCGCAGGAGCCGCTGGACGTCCTTGGCCTGCAGTCGGCGGAGCCTAGTGGCCGTGGTCGCATCGAAGCAAGGGAAGTCGCCCGCCATCTGGTCGTCGCTGAACTGGTAGAGGCCCTCCGAGACCTTGAGGGCCTTGGTGAACACGCTCCCCCCCGGCGGGGGGGCTGCGGGGTTCTCATCCTCCTCCGAGGACGCCTGCTCCTTGACCTTCGCCATCAGCTCCCGGCGCCTCTGCCACTTGGCGTCTGCCCGGGCATCCAGGCGGGCCTCCTCCAAGCGGGCTGCAGCCGAGGGGGACCTGGGCATCGGCAGCTCCTTCTCGTCCTTCGCCAGGAGCTCCTCCATGGGCACGTCCTCCTCCGGCGGGTTCAGGAGCTCCAGGAACGCCCCTGGGGGGCGTGTCAGGGCCTTCGGCACCTGCGCCACCCCAGGGGCTGCATCTTCCATCGGCTCATCCTCTGCCTTGCGCTTGGCCGGGATAAGGGGGGCCTGCTCCAGCTCATCTGCGCTGGAGAAGAAACGCTCGTCAGGTGCCTGAGGGACCTCAGCAGCCAAAACGGTCCATCCTTCTTCCTCCCTCTTCACGAGGCTCGCCAGGTACTTTGCCATGGAGGCCTTTGCCTTAGCCTTGGCCTCTGCTACCGCGGCACCAGCGTAGGCGGGGGCGTACATGGCTTTGAGAGTAGGGGAAAGAAAGATTTCAAATCACAAGACAAAAGATCAAAAGGTCCACTTGAGCCAAAATGGTGGCCCAAGTGGATACTTATTAAGAGTCAAGACAAGCGACCACCTACGGTTAACGCTTTAGCCCATGTTTCCTTGTTTTCCCAATGACTATATACTCAACGACTCTTTTGGTTTCAGGACCCATAACCCTGGCTTCTGAAGGGCCAAAAGGCTGACTCAATGAATCCCAACCCGAGGGAAGCTGACCGGAAGCTGACTGGGCTGAAGGACTGGCTGGGAGGGCCGCGTGGGTCTTTTTTTAATCCGCGGGAGTCGGGACCCAAATGGGTCGGTGTTCGTGTTCCGCGATAAAACCGCCGACAAAAGAAACGGGGCCCCGCAACAGCACGGCATGTTGTGGGCGGAATTGAATTTGAGCCACTAGAAACTGTTTTCTTAAAAATGGCGATTCGCTGAAGCACCGGTTGGGATGGACCTCCGTATGCAAACATCTATGCTGGAAATCAAGTGTTGCGGGATTTTGTCGATCCACAGTATTGCTTGAGCGCCCAAGACCTAGGTTCTGTGTGCCTTTACTGCGAGCAGGCAGCAGAACCTCCCTTGTACATGGCCCAGTGGGTTGGGCGCTATCACCTAAACTGGGTTAAAATCGTCGAACCACTTGCCTCGAGTATTGGCCCAAAGACACTTAGCAAGGCTTGAGCTGAAAACCACCGGAACCGGACAGCTGGGACCCGATTTTCTTGGGGTGCTTCCCCGTGCAGGCTTGTTACTTGGATGTTCGGCTAAGTTAGCAAGTTGTTGGTAGCCTAGGTTACAACCCGCTTAAACAAAAACGTTCAGTGGGGCCGGTTAACCTTGTTCTTACCGGGTGAACAACAAGCCAACTCTCACTTCCCGAGTGGATGGGCCAAAACAAGTCTAAACTGTTCCTTTGCCACTAGAATGGTCTTCCCAAAACGCCACTAAAGTCCAAAACGGAACTCAGGACGAGAAACCTGAGGACTGTCATCCAAAGTGGGTCCTAGAGCCTCCATGTCCCTTTAAAAATGGTTGATCATTACCCTAAATCATGGGGGGTCATGGACGTATTTTTATTTCGGGTCAGAGGGAGACTCCAGGTAGCTATGCGACATGAGACCAACACCGGGACCCAAAATGGCTTCGGCTTTCCTTTCGGCGCTCCGTAAAAGGAATTTAAGGGGTAGCCTTTCAAGGAAAACTAGGGCGAACTTGGCGAATCGAACATAGAGCTGACCAGGGCCAAGACACCGAGAGAGCATAGCACTGGCCGTAGCCCGAGGAGGACCAGCTACCCACTGGCCCTGTCCAGTCTGTGGGGCAAATCAGCTGGCCCTGGCAAGGAGACGACCCGATAACCGGAAATTCCCCCCGGGCTTTTGCTCGGATTGTTCAGGGGATGTTTGAAGGACAACCACTGAAGTTCCTTTGAACGTCGACTTATTTTGAGACATACGTGACCATATTTTCTTCTTTCCAGGCATCCTTCTTTCCACAAAACTGGGGCCCGAAACAGATCCGGTTTTGCAAAGAGACATGGTTCAAAAAAGAATGGACCAGGAATCGACCCCTAGCATCTTGGCTTTTGTGTGTGTGTTGTTTGTTAGGGCAAATCTATGATTTGCCGACGATTTTGGGACTCAAACAAAACTCCTCCCAGTCCCATGGCCTCCATGTTTGGTCGCTCTGCTTGGGATTTTCTTCTTGGTATCGCAGACCCCAGGCTTTGGTCCCTTGGTACTTCATGAGGATGGCTTAAAAGGGGGGGAAAAAAGGGTTCGAGAAATCGGTTTGTCGTTGGCTGCTTGTTTCTGTTTTTTTCCTTTTGGGGGGTTAGCCATTTCTGGCATCTTCAAGGGAAGCCACTCAAAAAAGACACACCCAAATGGGACCGGAAAGATGCAAGAGAAGAACATGGCTACAACTGGATTCACCGAAGGTCGGCTTGGGCCGACCCGTTCGGACTTTCTTGGGGTGGGCGGGCTGTCCTCAGATCCCCTGCTAAAAGTTTAACTTTTAATGTTAACCCCGGATTAATAAACCCCTGGTTGGTGTCCCCTTTTAGTGGGGGCTCGCTCATCACCTTTGGAGGGAACACCCCCCTAATAATGGAATGGGTTTATTAATCCTGGGTCAACATTTCCCCCAATAAACCCTAACCTTAAGCGGATGGCTGGGAACGAACCTTGGTGGGTCGGTGGGTTCCGGTTGCCTTGGTGACCACATTGCCGTTGATTCCGATAATGTAGCCGAACCTCAGGTCGGAACACCACAAGAATCTGCTTGCATTTTGTCCTATGGTTGTGTCTTTTGGGGATACACCCCAAAATGGCTCAACGGCTTTCCCTTTGGCTTTTTCCCAATCCACCAAAAAGGGGTACCCTCCAAAAAACAAGGGACCGCCGGATGGACAAAACCTGCACTTGGTAGGCGGCTGATCTGATTCAAAGCTTGAAACGAGGAATGCCCAAGCAAAAACCTTCACGGTTGCAATCTCAGTTTTCCCCCAGGGCTCAAAGTGTTTTAAATATCCCGGGCAGGGATGGCGACCACCCACCCAAAAGCTGGTTGCAGAGCTTGTTACCCCCAGAGCGACAAGGCAGTTGGACATGGTGGAACGAGGAAGTGCTCTTGGATGCGTTGGATTAGTTGAGCTTTGTCGGAAGAAACGCAAGTTAATAGCCCGTCCGGGAAAATTACTGTACAGTTCACGGAGTCCGTGAGCGTTTAGAATTGGCGCTTGCGTTGAACGTGGGAAACACACAGGAAAATACAAGGCTTGTTCCCGGGATTTGTGCTAGACTGCGCATATTGAAACCTCCACAGGCCCTTAAGTCTGATCAATGGCCTAAAAGCACGGATCTGATGAAACCAACTCTCCCATTACAACACAAATCGATCCTGCACAGGGGTCCTGCAAGGCCATTTTCCTTCTAAGGAGACCCCTCTGTAGGTTTCCGATTGTTTTTGGAAGCAGAATCCGACAAATCGAGTCGATCTGCGCATGAGATTGACGATTAGCTGTTAGGGCCCAGGCAGGCCTTGGATTACACGCATGCAGCAGAGAAAAACATTCCTAAGTCCTCCAGTAGAGAGGTTAGAATAAGGGTACCAACTTTCTTCTGTAGTCTATTTTAGTAGGGGAACCCTCCCCCAAAGAAGGGTGAGAAAGGGCACTACTGGGGGACCTAGATTCAACAAAAGAAGAATCCTGGAACGCCAGTTGCTGCTTTTCTCCATCCACGTTGGCCCAAAAACCAGCAACAGTAACTGAGAAAAGCAGCAACTTGGCTATCTAGCATACTTATCATCCGTCAAAATGAAATTTCATGGAAGGTGCCATATTTCAATTGTTTTCCCTCTCTTCTGAGTAGGGTTCCCCTGTGAGCGCGTGTGTTTTTCTTCACCGCAAGGTATACCCCAGTTTTAAAACCCCAGTTTTAAAACCCCAGTTTTAAAACAGGCAACAGCATTGGAGACGCACCGTTTGGCTAAAGGTTTCGGGTCAGCATTGCCAGCCCATCATTAGACTTCCCACTCAACCATGGCATGTGGAGATGGAAAACCTCTTCATTGGCCAATTGACATGCGAAGCTGCTTGAAACAAATCTATTTAGACATCACGCCTGGGCATGATTTCAAACACAAACACCGGAGCGCCCAAGCGTGACAAGCGTGAATTCAACAAAAAAAGCGGAGCCCCAATGCATGAATTCAAAAGAAAAAAAACACCCCGGCTCACAGGCATGAATGCAATAAAAACAAGCACCGGGCCCCCCAGGCGTGTTTTTTTGTTTTTAAGACTCCGGAACCTCCCAGCGTGATTTCAACAAAAACACACCGGGACCTATCCAGGCGTGATTTCGAAAAATATGTACTTCCAAAGCACGGAAGCCAGCGGGAATTCAACACACAACATAACCCCCCCAGGCGTGCTTCAAAAAGAAAAAAGGAAAACTGGACTGAGGTGTGTTTTTCTTCGGGATCACCAGTCGCTCACTCACTTGCTTGCTCGCTTCGTCCGTGAGAAAAAAAAAATAAGAATGAGGATTTAAAATGAACACAGCTGGCGTATCAAACCCAAAAAAAAATGATTCCAAAGGTCACCTTTGCGGGGTCTTAGTTGCAACCAGTTTGGACCCAGAACATGCCAATAAGGGCCAAAAAGGGCCAAAGAATGGGCCAAATGGGTCAAAGGTCGCAGCGCTTTCGGCAAGTGAGCAGTATGAGGCAACCTCATTCCCTTCGACCTCCTGCTGAAAGTTGGAAACACTTCTACCCAGCAGTTCCTTCCGCTCCACTGACTCTGCAAGCCAACGTAGCCCCTTTCCCCCAAAACAGCACCTTCCATAATTAGTACCTAGAGTCTCCATGACCCGTTAAACATGGTTGGTCAGTACCCTAAATAACGGGGTTATGGACCTATTTTTAACGGAGACTCCAGGTAGCGGTTTCTGGAAGCTGTCACTAAACCCTGCAACAAACCAGCAAACCTCAGAAGCGTCATGGCTGGGTATCCTCTGCAAAAAGTTCACTTTGTGTGGGAAACAACTTGATTTCAACCAAACAAGTGAAGGTCTAAAGATCCAACCCAACCATGAAGAATGGTGGCTGTCCATTTGGTTCCCATTCAAAACCACAAAAGAGGGGTAGGGGTACCCTTCAAACAAAAACAAACACCAAAAGCATCAGGCTGCAAAATCAAAACAGCTTAAGTCCACAGAGTTAAAGTTTCAACCAAAAACTAAAGTCCAAAAAAAAACCCACCCAAATAGGCGGGTTGTGTCTCAACCCAACATGTGACTGATCTTTTGCCCGGCTGCAGAGGGGGCAGGGGTACCCTACCAACCCCCCAAACAGCCATAAAACTTCTTTCTCCACATGTTTCTGTTTGGCGAACCCAAAAAAATCACAACACTTGCAAACAAATAAGAAACACTTAAAACCCAAAAGCCAACAAAAACACACGCACACAAACATATATACATATATATATATATAATATATATATATATATATATATTTATTGAAAAACAACAAATCGCCGCGACATCCAGGCCGAAGCGCAGGAAGCCCCCTGTGGCGATCACGCTAAAAGCCGCTAAGACGTTCTGCAGGCCCATACCTCGCATCCGGTCGTTGGACGAGTGGCCCTGGCTTGGCCCCACCCAAGACCCGGCTTTTTGGTCTACCTGGAGTCTCCTTCTGAGCCTCTAAAAATGGTTGGTCATTACCCGAAACGATGCGGTCATGAACCTATTTTTTGATTCGGGTCATGGAGACTCCAGGTGGGGCATGATGTCAACCCTTTACACAAAAAAAAGGTGGAAACCAAGTTGTCCGGAAACAAAAAAACATGAAGAAAAGGTCTTTGGAGTAGGGTGCCAGCCTTGTGATATCCAAATTGGGGAAATTGGCAATCGCCATGACTTTGTAACCTTGAGCAGTTGATACCAAAATCGAATTCGCGATTCCTTCCGGCCCTATTTGGGTGTCATGAGAAAACCGGGGCATGCGGAAACCACAAAGTACCAACTTCCCCAGGCTTCCCCTCAACTGGAGTGGAGAATACACTTTTTCATACCAAAATTGGCCACCATGACCTTTTTTGTGACTTTGGGCATTCTTTTGGTATCACCGAAAGTGGCCAAACAAAATAAATAACTCCACATGTCTTGGCTGGAATTAGGACCCCAGCCAAAAAAAAAATGTTGCCTGGTTAGTGGAAAACAAAGGGAACCCCAAAAAAGCAAAAAGGGGAGCTAATTCTGGTGAAGTTTTGAGGGTTGTTAAACAGCAAGCTAAAAGCAGACCACCCAGTGTATGAGTTCGCCTATGAGGCGTGTTCGAACATGAAAGCTCTCAATTCTAGACCCCAGCGCCTTTCATTGTTCTTTGGCTCGCGGGTCAACCAAAAAAGCATTTTCACGACCCCCAAAATATTGTGTCTTCTTTTGGTTCCCCTTTTAAACAGGCTGGAGCTGATCCGGCTTTTGCTTTCAAAAGTCGAATCGCGATTTCCTTGGATCCGTCCTTCCAGTGCAAAAAAATGTGGTAGGGTGTGGGGTGTGGGTAGTTTTTCGGTCGCTTCGGGCTCCCGAAACGAACGAGTTCCTTAGAGAGTCTTTGGGACCCTTCAACCACGCCCTCCTTTGGGATTCCCCGTGTGTTGTGCTCCCAGAGCGTTGCATGGGCTCAAAGAAATGTACCAAAATGGGACCTTCGTAAATGGAACCAACAACTAAAACCTGCGTAACCCTAGCTCTTCAACTTTGAGCCACACCAATTTGGAAGCAACCAAAAGCCGTAAACACTGGTTGGCACTGAAACAACAACTGAATGCTGGGCAGCAACAAACCTGGATTGATAGCAAGACCAAGGCAGAGTTGGGTATGTGGGCAAGCTGCTGGCAACACCTCCGAACTTTGGTCTGGGTATAGGATTCTTGACGTCGTGTGCCTCCAACTTGTTCCTAGTCCGCCCCAGAATCTCATATTACAACTAGAACAGGGCTTCCCACATTTCCATCCAACAAATACCACTGACAAGCATACTAATTTCACCGTGTGAGTGTTTAAAACCACCTCTTTATAAGGGGATAAAACCGGGGATCCCCGACAGAAGGCCGGCTGCGGCTGTGGCCCCGTTATTTCACAGCTGATCAATGACCAGGAAGTCAACTGTGGCAACATAACCTCAGACATAGTCAGGAAGCAATCTTATATTCCTATGGTAAGACGGGTGCCTTTGCTTGTGGTTTGGAATCTCCCCAACACACCTGATTTCCCATAGATAATGTGACATCTGTTGAGTAGTTGGAGGGTACCCTTTTGTGAGTTGTTTACAAGGGATACCAATGGATAACCAGCAAAGCAACATTTCTTGAACACTCCTACTGCCTGGCAATGGGCAAAAGATACACTCAGATGGTTAGTGGATTTCCATGGGAAAAAAAGAATCGGCGCCTTTTTTTGCTGGTTGACTTCAAAGGAACTGGAACCCTTTCCCAAAAAATGTTGAAACGCGGGTGCGGAGTCCACTGGTTGCAGAGTTAAAAAGCCGTGGGCGGACTTCCGGAAGCCGCTCGCCGTGCGATTTGTTTCACACCTCCGTCCCATTTCGGGTCTTGGGACCATCCAAATCGATCAACCCACCCGGATCCTTCACAGCCGCCTGCAAAAGCCAGGTCTCAAATGATGTTCTTTGGGCCACAATGCTAGCGGCCGGCGAACCAGCAACGGCTCAACCCATCGCTGAAGAAAAGATGCCACAAAACCAGAGTAGCCTTTTATAGAGCGCAACATGCATGAAATCATGCAGTTGCACAGCGCCTGAATCCGGATGAATTTCTCTACTTATCATATTGCGAAGCTTTGAAGCCACTTGGACTCGAAGAAATCCAACTGGAATGCGCGATCTCGAATCGAGAAATGCCGCGAGGGTTCTCATACTGAAATAGACAAAAAAGAAAAAAGTTGGTGCCCTTATTCTAACCTCTCTGCTGGAGGACCTAGCCAATTTCGGGGATGGGTTTTTTAAGGGACACCAAAGGGAAACTGTTCTTTTTTTGGGGGGGGCAGACACAGATGTGGAGATGTTCAACTCTTACAACCTCAGCTTGGGCCTCAATCAGATTCCTAAGACTCAAATCAGCGCACTTCCGGCGCTGGACTTTGGGCCGTGTCCCCACATAGGGGTATCAGGCCACAGGCCCTCTGCCTCTCCCACTCCCAACTGAGATCTGTAGGGCTTTTCCAGCTTGAAAGAGAAGTCCAACCTAACACAATCTGAGCTTTGAGAGGTAATGAGAGTGATTCATCATAGAGCTGTGCAACGCAAACGCCTGATCAAACTTGGATATCGCTCTAGCTGAAGCATCTTAGTAGAGTTGGGGCCCCCTCCCATCTTATTTTTTGCGAATAACCATGAGATGCTCTACAAAAGCATTTGCCCTCTTGTTGACAAGAAAAAACACACAACAACAAGCATTTGCCCTCTTGTTGACAAGAAAAAACACCACGAAAACTCATGCATGAAAGTGTGCGACCCCCTTGTACTGAACAAGGCTCCCCAAAGAACCTTCCTAGCGCTTGCCTTCTGCATGCCGTTCGCTTGTCCCTGGTCAACAGAGCGTCGCTTTTTTGTTCCCCCTGTTGTTTTTTTCCTGTTTTTGTTTGATACCCGTTTTGTGGTGGAGATATAAAGGGAAACAAAAAGGAAAACCGTGATTTTGGAGAAAACGCCGTACAAAAACGGCCCCGCCATTTACATGTTAGGATGTGCGTGTCAAATAGAAGAATGCATCCCATCGAAGCCAGTTCCCGAAGACATGCTTCTTAGTTGTACCACGTGCCCGGGATTTGATGTCAACTTGAATGAGCCCGGAGGACTGTACTACTCCGGGGTGGTTCCCAGTTTTTAGGGGGATCGAAACAATTCTTGGTGAGATGCCGATAACTAGGTTGAGTCCTCCGGATTTATCGGAAGTATCCTCGAAAGGTTGTAAATGTTCCCTTGATTTTCTCTTTGAAGCAGCGCCAAAACGGATATGCTCAAAAAGCCACCCACACGCACAAACACAAACACAAACACAAAAACACACACACACACACACACACACACACACACACACACACACACACACACACACACACACACACACACACACACACACACACACACACACACACACACACACACACACACACACACACACACACACACACACACACACACACACACACACACACACACACACACACACACACACACACACACACACACACACACACACACACACACACACACACACACACACACACACACACACACACACACACACACACACACACACACACACACACACACACACACACACACACACACACACACACACACACACACACACACACACACACACACACACACACACACACACACACACACACACACACACCTCCATCTCAATCTGAAGGGGCATGAATAAAAAAGGAATATGCCTATGACAGTATTATTCTGAAGAGGCAACATAAAGCCCTTTTTCCCACACCCTTACCACCCATGGTATGGTAGCAACAAACTGCGGTTTTTGACAGGCCCCTACTAAAACTAAACAGACCTTGCAAAAAAACAACTTGCCCAATCTCAAGGTTAAATGGAAATCCCCACTAAACACTAAACACTAAAAAGCTTCCTGGAATGGCTAAGGAATTGAATTCACGGAATCGGTTCCGTCCTGCAGCTCTGAGTTCAGCGTCACTGACAGGACTTTGCCCACCGAGGTGTTGCCCCTGCGCGGGGGGCGACACGGGGCGCCGTTTCGAGCGAGTGGCCCATGTGGATGGTGGCGAAATCCAAAACCGAGTGTTGGTCTCACTTCCCGTGTGGATGGGCCGAAGGTCCAAACTTTTCATTTACACAGAGGCTCCTAAAACTTTCAATGGAAGACCCGGCCCCTCCATTAGACACCCCGGACAAAGTTCGGGGTCTCAAAACCTGGTTGTTTGAAGGCCCTAAATCAATCGGGAGGTTGTGGGTACCACTAAACTGGTCTTCCCAAAGAGGTTTCAGTCCAGCAACTCAAGCATTTGTTTTCTACCAAAATGGGTCCATTGACCAAGGGGCCCCTGTTGGCGTCCCCTTCTAAAGCCACAAGGGAGAATCCCATCCCCGAAAAGGAGCGAGCAATACGTTTGATTAACACCTCAACAAAAAGCCGTGAGAGCATCGCGTCCGGCATCGCCCTCACTGGATGCAACTGGGCTGTCCGTTTTCTGATGCCCGGCCAAAGGTGTAACTTTGCGTGGGCTCAATTTGGAAACTAGCTACAGATTTCGGAGAAAAAACACTAGAAAGTAACTACCTAGAGCCTCCATGACCCAAAATAAAACCAGGTCCGTGACCCCAATATTTAGGGTCATGACGGGTGGGTCCGGGCCGAATTCCATATTTTTGGTCTTCCCGTCAAAGCAATAAATGGAATTCCAGGGGTCGACATCCCCCTCCCCCCAATTTGTAAGGGGGTGGGGAACTTGTCGATGTACGGAAACAACACGGAGCACATGTCGCACAAAAAAGGCCAGCGTAAATCGGATTTGGGGGCTCCACAAGCACGGTTGGTTCT